TGCTCTGGGTCACGCCAACCTCGTCGTCGAGCTGTTGGAGGAGCTCGTTCTGTTCGGTGAGTTCCTGATTGATGGCGAGGCCCATCTGCCTCTGCCTTCTCAGGATGGCGGCTAGACCGAGCAGCTGCTCGTCCTGGTCTTTCATGGCCTGCTCCTGCAAAGATAGTAGACCGTTGTCGTCCAGTTGTCTGGTGATATGGTCCTCCTGAGCTGGGGGTCTGGCGGTTCCATTCGCATCCTGGTGGCTTCCTGTTCCTCCACCACCACCGTTACCTAGGGTCCGTCTTGGTGCGACGTATGCGCCCGGTGGAAGCCTTTGGGATGATCCTCCTCCCGATCCACCGGCAGGGTTGCTCGATCTCGAATACCCACCACTTGAACCGGCTGTGTGACCCAACCTTGAACCGACTCCTGCCGCCACTCCAGCAGACGGATCCGAGATGACGGCACTGGAAGGTAGACCGATGAAGTCTTTGAAGCAAGAGCTCTCTCTCCAAGAGTCGTCTGAAGAACTGACGATACTTCTGAGGAACTTTTCGAGGCCGTCCCTCCTCTCCCTCAGCTGCATCTCCTCCTTCCTCCTCTCCTCGTCATTCACGCCGCCGCCGAGGATCGCACCCAAGGATCGGATCGTCTTCAAGGTCCTTCCGAGCGGGTTCTTGGGAGGCAATCGCTCGGGTGGAGGGCAACCTGCGCCGAACGGTTTCGGCTCCTGGAGGTCGACCAAGAGCTTCTCGAACTCGGAATACCTCTTGTAGACGGTCCAGTTCCTGACCGGAAGGGAGACCAGGACGGCGTAGACAATGTGAGGGGTGGGAGAGGACCTGGATTCGTGCCTCGGGATCGAGATCGATTGGATGGGAGTCGATTGGTGCATGGCGGGTGTCGGGGTCGGTATTCCCCTCCCCCCTCTCTCTTCTCTCTCTCTCTCTCTCTCGCTTTCTTTCTTTTCCCCCCAAGACTCTATTGTGTTTGATTTACGAAAAGTTTAGCCTGTGAATGCTGCTTGGTTGGCTGGACTCTCACGCTGAACCCCCCGTCGTTGCTGTCGTTGATTCGCTATCTGAGAAGGGGATGGGGTGGGAACAAGTGAACGGTGTATGCCTTGGTGTAGTTGTACGGAGGTGGATGTATGCGTATGTGGTTGTGGCTGTGGGTGGATGTTGGCGTGTGTGAGAGGGAGAGAGAGAGAGAGAGGTGGAGGCGCAGACGTGAGGGTGATCCAAAAGACGACGGAGGCAACGACTCTACAGATTCGACGTGGGTGGGATTTGCGGATGTGAGCCTCGGTCCACGCTCGCTCGGAATCACTCGCATTCGGCAAGCTTGTGAGGTTTCGCTTTTCACTGATAGTATTCTCCTCTCTTTTCCATGCGCACCCGTTCTTTTCACACAGGACGCCTTGGGGTTTAGATTCGAAAAGACCCAAGGGAAAGGGATCCCGCAAGGTCCTCTTCCGATCAGCCGCCTTCCTCCATGCCTTACTTGGATTTCATTCACGTTTAGAAGAAAGGGGGTTAGGTTTGGTGACGAGGAGAAAGAGGGCCGAAGGCTTGGACCCTGTGAGGCTCTCGACATGGTGGGTGTAGAGAGAGACGGAGAGAAGGTTCGACCAAGCCGAGTGCCGGAATCCTGCTCGTGGCTCTTCTTGTCGGATGGATGGTGAGAAGGAGTGGGCAGAGGCAAATCTTGCTGCGCACACCCTCCCTCCATCATGCGTGAATGTACCATTCACCAGTTGAGTGTGAATTCCTTGTCATGCCATACCATTCTGAATGCCATCCATCCCTCTCTCACCTCGTGGAGGGGGTGAGGGAGGTGGAAGGAGGAGCACGTTCTTCAAACCTGGCTCGGTAAATTAACTGGCCGACTCGAGACCCGATCGCGCCATTCTCCTCCTTTCTCGTTTCCTTCTTCCTTGATTCGAACCAGAGGGGAACAAAAAAGCTGAGCAGCATACATTCAACCGACACCCTCCTCGACAACCACCATTCCTTCTCCTTGTCCTCTCTCTCTCTCACCAACCCCCTAGGAATCATAGACACCTAACACCACCCACTCACCCTGAAGAGAACCTTCCAACATGGTCAAGACCGTAGAACTAGAGGTGGACACCATCCTCTTCGATATGGACGGGACGCTGATCGACTCGACCCCGGCTGTCAACGCCACCTGGGCCCAGTTCGCCGAGGACTACAACCTCGACCTCGACTTTGTCATGAAGACCTGCCACGGCTGGAGGACGATCGAAAACCTCAAGAGGTTCGTCCCCTCGATACCTCAAGAGAAGCTTCCCGAGGAGGTCAAGAGGTTCGAGTCCAACATCCTCGTCGTTGCAGAAAGGGAAAAGTCGCAATCGGGTGAGGGCAGCATCGTGGCCATGCCGGGTGCCAAGGAGCTCTTGTCCCAATTGAACCAAGGCTTGGAGCAGAGGAGGGTTCAAGGCGGAAGGCAAGGCTGGGCCATCGTCACCTCGGCCACCAAGGCCTACGCCCACAAGGGCTTCGAACAGGCCCAAGTCTCCCAACCCCCAGAGATCTTTGTCACCTCCGACCTCTGCTCCAAGGGCAAGCCTGACCCCGAGCCTTACCTCCTGGGAGCCAAGCTGAGTCAGGTCGACATCGCGAGGTGCCTTGTTGTCGAGGACGCCCCGCCCGGCATCCGCTCGGGCAAGGCCGCCGGAGCAAAGACCTTGGGCCTTAGGACGACTCACGACGGCGAAAAAATGTGGGACGACGGAGCCGATTTCGTGGTTGAGGACCTGAGGAGTGTCTCTGCAGAGTGGATCGACGGGAGGATCAAGCTCACCATCCAGTGCGAGGAGAGGGAGAAGGGGGAGAGCAAAGGCATCTCGCCCCTCGCCAAGGCGATCTCCAATGGCGAGGCTCGATGAAAAAGGGTCCAAGGGGAAAACTTGCTTGCTTCTTTCCATTTGAATTCGTCGGATCCCTCCCAAAGGTCATGGTGAATGATCGCTTGTCCGCATGCGAAGGATTCAAGCTTCATGGTCTGCGCCCCCTCTATACGTCCCTTGGATGAGCTCTCGGCACTCGGACATATAGACCACAGATCTAATGCAATACATACATACTTTCTTATTCCTTCTTTACCCCTCCTCGAATCACCCAAGTGGTAGAAGACCGGAGCGAAAGATGTACCCCATTCTGAAGTTGGGAGCACTGTCACGTTGAAGGTGTGAAGGGTTTGTTTTGTTTTATTCACCAGAGGACCAGCAGGGCCCTCAATTACTCGAAAGCGGAAGAGTTGATTGGGGATTTCTTATCCATTTATCTTCCGATCCCTTCAATCGTAAAGGCCTTGCCCATCCCAACCCCTGAAGCCTACGCAGACCCAAAATTGCTCTCGACTCTCCTTGCGACTGGCCTCGACCTTTTCGCTCCTGACGCGGTCAAAGCACCTCTCCAATACGACCTTCCTGAACCTGTCCGCCTCGGCGCTCATAAAGTACTTCATGATCAGGACCGAAGAGGTGGAGGCTTTCAGATTCCCAACGCTCTTTCTGACTGGCTTGCTCTTTTTCCTTCGTTCGTTCGTCGGTGGGATTGTAAGGTTCGAGGTGGTGGGATCGACCTGTTCCACACTGCTGTCGACCTTGAGCATCTGCGCGGCGAATCGCTGCAGGGAAGGGGAGTGGGGAAAAAATTATTGCAAGGCAGGAAGACGAGGGTGAGTTGGGAAGGCTCCGACTGGGGTGGTGTTCTAGCGTTTCTTTGGGGAAAAGCCTGAGGGAAGGGTTCGGAAGAGACGCACGAATGCCGCCCGACAAAGCTCCAGTGAAGCTTCGGTATCGGCAATGGTATTCCCACTGGTGTTGGCTGTTCGTTTTCGTTTCGCATTTTTTTTTCCGATTTACCATTCGTCAGGGAGGAAAGAGAAAGCAGGTGAAACGTTGAGAAAAACAAGTAAATGAGAATAGGCATAGAAGAAAGAGAGAGGGATGTGTCAAGATCGACTGTATACTGCTATGTTCCAAATCTTACCCATCATATCGCTCAGAACAACGTCGACCAATCGAAGACTTTCGTTCGCCTTCGACTCTTCCCCACTCTGCTGGGAATCCCTGCCTTCCAAAGTCAAGGAGCGACCATCAGTGAATCGGGATCGCAAGCTGTGGAGGATGAGATCTCTGAGCTGGATCTGAACTCTGTGGTCCAGGAAATCTCCCTTGAGGACGGTGACACCTTCACAGTGGATGACGTCGAGAAGGTCCAGGGCGAACAGACGGTTGGTTCGATCAACGACTCGCTCGTTCGTCGTGGTCGTTCCGACCCTCGCTGCCCTTCTGGAGACGACTTGACTCCAACCTCCAGGGGCGGCACCTAGGTCGACGATCACCCTACCAGGCTTGAGGAATCGGTACGAGTCGTCCAACTGGATCAACTTGAAAGCCGATCTCGAGACCAAAGAGGAGGAATCCTGAGAATTTGGAGAGGACGGATGATCTTCACCAGCCATCCCAACCCCTTTCCTCCTCGCCTTGACGAAGGCGTCATTCCTCTGTCTATCCAAATACCTGGAAGAAGATCCTCCCCGCTTGTTCGAAGTTGATCTGATCTGCTGTTGCATTTGGTGGGACCCTTGACCTTGGGACACCCTTCCAAACAACCACGGTCGTCCCGAACTGTGAGGGAAGGGCTTGAAGCTCTCGGTCAACCACGATCCAAAGGCCTCCGAGGGCAGGCTTGATAGCCTTCCCAGCCTGGAAGAGCCTGCCATCAAGGATGAAACCATGGGCCAGAGCTGACAGACCGAGGGGCCAAGCAGAATCCTGATGGACTGGAAAAAGCGTTGGAAGTCAGAAGCTGCCCACCCAGTCTTTGAACGCGACACGACAAGTGACTGGGGAACAATCCCGGTGACTTTGGATTTTGCGAAAACTCGGACTCCAATTGATGAATCGTGAACGAGGCAGACCAAAAAAAAAAAAAAAAAAAAAAAGGAAGTTTAAAGCAACTGGGTGAGTCACGTACAAAAAAAGATTCCCACTAGCCGATTTGAACGACTGACTTCGTCATAACAACATTTTCATGTTGGAAGCCTGGTTTGCTTACTAGTGACGCACTCTGCCACTGAGTTAAGCGGGAAGCTTGAAAGGGAAGCAAAATTAAGACTACATAATCTGTTGGTCGATATTTCCCAGATCTTCTTCCATCCGTTCATCGCCCATGGAAAAGTTACAGGCTTATTTGGTCCATTGTCCTCGTGTGAATTTCCCGTCATCTAAAAGGCTTGTTTGAGGCTTGCAATCCTTCGTTGCGGTACTCTCTATCAGGCCATGCGTGGGTATGTGTGTGTGTGTGTGTGTGTGTGTGTTGCGTGGGTAGAGAAAGAAGATCTGCTGTTCCACTTCCTATCTCCTTATCGCTCGCAGCTTTTCGGCTTTTCGCGGATGTCTCCCCCCCCCCCCCCCCCCCACTTCTATCTTGGGTGGGTTAGTTGTGTCAGAGCATCACGATCTTCTCATTTCACCACGACGTTGCGAGCAAAAGAATTGGCCTTTGAGCCACGCCAACCATCCCCTCGTCCTTCTCACCCTACTCCCCTCCACCCCGTTGGCAACTCTGGTCCAACGTTCGATCATGGCCGACAACGCTGTGGCTGGTCAATCCGACAGGAAGCGGAATCGGGCTTGCTTGGAGTGCCGCTTCGCAAAAGTCAGGTGTCACCCCTTGCTCACCTCTTCCGGACAGCAGGCTTGCCAGAGATGCAACGAGCATGGGTTCCGCTGCATGTTCGTGTATCGCAAGCAGAAGAAGCCGCCCCGAAGCCATCTGGATCCCGTCCCCCCTTCGGAAAGCCGATCAAGTTCCTGCCAACCATCATCTTCGCAACCAAGCGTCCTTCCCAGTGTTGCAGCCGATCCGACGCCTCAGGTCCTTCTCGAGCCTCCCTCTCCCTTCTCGACCGACATCAAACAGAGGGCCAGGCTCGCTTTGGAAGAAAGGAGAGCTCGACCTGGGTCCGGCTTCACCTTCGCAAGCGAGTGGTCCGCGACCCAGCAGAGCAGCAGCCTACGAGTCATGCTAGACTCTTTGGATGCCAGGGAGCGACATTCGGTCACGCTCAGATCCATTCTTGAGCCATTATCGATGGATTCGAACGGCCACAAGGCAAGAAAGGGTAAAAAAAGGCCACGACATGAGGAGCGAGGTGAAGACGAGCACCGATTCGCGTCCTCACTGTCGACAGAGGTGGCCACCACCGGGCCAGCTGATCCAGTTCTCTCAGGGCTTCTTACCCCGACGGAGGCACGATCGCTCGTGTCCTTCTACATGCGATACATTGACCTCTGGTGTCCCATCCTCGATCCGCAGCTGCACACTCACGACTGGATCCGTGACCGATCGCTCTTCCTCTACTGCGTCGTGTGCTACCAAGCGGCCCGATTCTGCCCCAAGACCTTCCAGGAAGGGGTGACCTACGATGTTCCCCAGAAATCTCCAATCTCGGAACCGTTGGTAGGTGCCCGCCGCCTCGAGCAGCTGCGCTCCCTGGTCGCCCAGCACGCCTGCCACACTTTTGGATGCGGCATCAGAACGATCGAATGCACTCAGGCCTTCTACATCCGTGCTGGACGCAGGGACAAGGATGACCCGATCTCCCACCTTCAGAATGGGTACGGATTCAGGTTGGCACTCGACCTTGACCTTGATGCCCAACTCTCCCCTTCGGGTCCGGATCTGACCTCTAACGCGAACGACGCCCAGTCAAGAGACTTGATCCGATACCGGAACCGTCTTCGGACGTTCCTCGCCTTGTACAATCAGGACAGGGTCCAGGCGCAGCACTACTTCTTTCAAAAGTGCAGCTTTGGCGAACACAGCTGGATCCTGGACAGGTCCAGCGAATGGCACACGGACCGGTACGCCTACCACAGGGACATACTCGTCTCGCTCTGCTCGGACTGCCACCAGATCCTCAGCAGGTACAAGATCATCCTTCGGACCTCGAAGACGGCCTCGGACAGGAGCAGGGGGGTCGAGCAATCTCAGATCGTACTCGACCTATTCGAGAGCGAGTTCGACGGATGGCAGGCGAGATGGGAGAAACGGCTGGCGGATCAACCACCTCTACCACCCGAGGACGCCACCAACCAGGCCGACCACCTATCGACGAGGTTGCAGATGGTCAAGATCTGGAGAGGCAGCGCTTCGCTTCATGTCGCCTCGATCGTCTTGCACCACCAACTGACCCACCTTCAGCAACAGAGGGATCTAATCACGAGCCAGCCGATGGGTGCCCAATGGGCGACCGAGAAATCCTTGGCCCTCCTACCTTGCATCCGAGCGGCTCACAACATCCTGACCGGCCTCTCCGCCTTGCCTCCTCAGGTTCTCCGACTGGCTCCCGACTCGATCACGCTCCTGGCGCCTCACGCCGCCGTGATCCTCCTTCACCTTGCCTGTCTACCATGGATCCAGACCTCAGCGACGGTCTTCCTTCCGTCCTCGATCGACCTGATGGCCAGGATGCGAGATCGATTCCAGCTCGCCACCGAATCGGAGGAAGACAATGTCGCTCTACACGCCCATCACCTTTCGAGCATCCTCGAGATCCTAGGCCACGCCGGAAGTGACACGAGCGGCGTTGAGGGGAAGTCTTCGGGCTCCTCCAACCCCGTCGAGCTCCCACCAACCACCACCGCCACCCCCTCCTCCCAAGAGACCCATCATCCACAAGTCTACAACCTTGAATTCCCGACTCAAGATCCTTCAGGATCGACGAGCGGATTCCCCGCACCCCTTTCCACCATCCCTGCTCTACCTTCAGCTGCGACGACGACGACCAACGTTGCGAATCCACTGGGCAACTTCTTTGACGCTTCCCAACAGTGGAACGATCAGGATCTCTGGGCCCAGATCCAGGCTTTGACCCAGCAGCTTGAAGGTGGTGTCTACTCTTGAACACCCCGACGTGAACATCCTCTCGCAACCAACCACCCCGTTCTTTTCATTGGTACGCATTTCAAATGATGAAGGAAAATCATATCGCAAAACCCACATGGACACACAAGAGGTTTCCGACATTGCAATGTAGAGTGGAAACGGGATATCCAAAGTCGAATCCCACCCCTTTCCTCTCCTTCCTTTGCTCTCTTTCTTTCCCCAGTCCGGAATCAGAGGTGGTCTTGCGAAAGTGAACCCCTCCCATCACTCCACAACGTACATGGGAACCCTCCCTCTCCCCCCATCCCACTCGCTCGCGATCTATCCCTGAATGCCGCGTAGCTGGAGCAAAGACCTTCTGGGAGTTGTCAAGTAGTCCACAGTACCGTCAGGCCGGGGAAGACGATGAAAGTGGGAGGAACCAAAGAGCAGGGCCCCGCAGGGTTTCGAAGCCATGCTCGGATGCGCCATCCACGTGATCTACGTTCCCTTGCGCTGTATGTACATATGCATGAACAGACTTACACTCAGTTTGGAAGTCTGGACCAACCCTCCTGGAACGAGGTCGAGATTGCTCATTCCCCACCACAACTCGAAAACAAGCAGGCATGTATGAGATGAATGCACAAAAAGATCAAACCCCCTCCCCTTTTACCATCGAGATGAAGACTCGGATCGCCCGACAACCAACCAAGGAGTTACAAACCCCCACCGATCCCCGTCGCTCCCTTCCTTGGATTGCCGAAGGTTCCACGTCCGAGCATTGCACTCCCAACCCACGGACTAGTCTCTTTCATGCCACGCTGATCTCGGTCCCGAGCACGGACCACGAGGTGACGGATCATTCCTTCCCGAAACCGAAGCTAAATCCAACCACTTCCAAGTCTCAAGCAAGGAAGCCCCCTAGGCCTCCTCGTTTTCCACGACTCAGCACCCCTCAAGATTTTAGCCGGACCTGGGGAGTAATGGTTTCACAGCCAAGGCGGTTGGATGGAAAATCGGCTGCAACCCCTCCCCTTTTAAACTCCTCCTCCCCCCTTTCCCCTCCTTTCCCCCCCTTTATGTTCCTACCCAAGCGATCGCTTATTACGATTCAGCCCTTCGGATCACCTCCAATCTCTTGCTCGGCCTTGGGGGACCATCCGGCTCTAGATCTTCGCTATGGCGAACTTGACTGGTCCAACTGACGATGGTGACACTGAGCGTCTGGATCATGCTCAGCTCTCCCAGTATCTGTCAAGGATCCAGTTGCCTCCGTCATCGGATCTCGGAAACCCTGGTGGTCCAACGGCCGAGCTGGCCACGCTCAAAGCCGTGGTCAAGTCCCACCTCTCCAGCATTCCCTACGAGAACCTAGACCTTCACTATCAGGTTCCAGGTTCGGAAAGGACTGCTGGACCGCCCTGCTCGATTCGCCTTCCGGGAACCTTCGAAAAGATGGTCCAAGGTAGGAGGGGAGGGTACTGTTTGGAACTCAACTCGCTTCTAGCGCAGGCTCTGAGGTCGCTTGGTTTTGTTGTCCATTCGGCCCAGGCCAGGATCGTGTATGAGCAATCGGCACCCTCCAAACAGGGTCAAACCAAGGACCTGGTCGGGATTCAAGTCGAGGTGGAGAAGAGTCTGCTCGGAAACGCTTGGCCCACTCACATCCTACTCATCGTTCAGACTCGGGATGGGTCGAGGTACCTCGTCGACACGGGTTTGGCGAAATTCTCTCTCACAGAGCCTCTCCTCATCCCATCTTCGCAGGGAAGGTGGTCGTCTTTGAAGGAGGAGGTGGAGGAGGAGGAGGAGGAGGAGGACTGGGTTGAAAAATCTCTGGCCAGAGGTATTCTCGGCAAGCTCTTCAGGTTGAGACGTTCCAAAGTGGATCCTGATGCCAGGGGTGGGGCAAGGGAGGTTCCATCTTACTACTTGCAAGTCTCGATACCAAGCAAGATCGGCGTCGATGATGATAGCGACGATGATGGTGGTGGTGTCGGTGGCGAGCGAGTTTGGAAAGATTACTACCACTTTGCTGACAGGAAGGTGGAACGACAAGGGGAGGATTTCATTCACGAGTGGATGTCAAAGGGACCCGAATCGGTCTCGCCTCGGTACCCTTTCGTCACCATGCCGGTCAGAGGCGTGGGTCAGGTCAGCCTTCACGATCAGGAGCTCGTGATCAGGCAGGCTGATCCTCCTTCTCTCTCTGCTAT